GTTTCCAGATGCATTCCTTTGACTTGTCCCATGAAGATGATGAAGATGATGATGGTGATGATGATGAAGGGGAACAACTTGCTGCTCCTATTAAGCCCAAAAGGGTCCGAAGTAATGAAGAGGAGGAAGAAGTGGTCTACCATCCAGTGAAACTGTCCAGGAATGATTTATATAGACCTCCAACAGCTGAGGAGCTAAATCACCTGAAAGAGGCTGAAAGCCTGTTTCATTGCAGCCTTCTTAAGATGCAGGTGAGACTCTTGTCTGGGATCTAGCTGTGAATATATTCCTAGAATATGAAAAGTAATTTTCCACCAGATTAAATATGAACTTGTTTACAAACCTGAACAGCCCAATCTAGGAAACTGGTTTGTACCTTGTTTGAAAACCATCTTGGAATATAGTGTTCCGTAATATAGCAGTAATTTGCCCCGGGAATGAAAAGCATAATGTATGAAAAACATAGGGGGACTAACTTTTACTTCAAAGCATAATTACTTATACTTTGGGAATAAGTCAATTTCTGTTAATGCTAAAAATGTTCATGGGTAAACTACTTCTCTTTTAAAAGGCTGTACCTTGAACGCTACCAAGAAGAAAGAATAATTGGTCCACAATATGTCATCTTATAAATTTGTGACATTACATAAATAGTTTAGTTTTAGTGCATTTGAATATATGATGGAATTTTTTATATTTTTAATAAACCCTTTCTCTCTTCTTGAATATCAGATGGAGGAGCTGCTGAAGGAGGTTACCCTGAGTGAACGCAGGAAACAACAAATCGATTCCTTTGTTAAGACGGTCACAAGGCTGCTTGAGACGGTCCCAGTATCACCAGAGGTTGAGGTGTGTAAAGTTTAGAGCAACCCCAGAGTATTTTCACTGTTTCACCACCTCTGCATATATAATCAAGTTTTTTTTTTAAACAATCTCTCACTCGGTGCTCAGGTGAGTGACTTGTCATGGCTGTCCGGTGCAGTTAAGGTTCCTTTTCTTCTGGTGCCCAAAACAACAAAGGGCAAATTCCACATGGCACCTCCTGCTTCCATTGATCTGATTGGGAGCTACCCACTGGGAACCTGCATTAAGCCTAACATTAAGGTGGACCTCGCCGTCACAATCCCAGCTGTAAGTCACCTCTCAATGCTCGGAGATTAATCTAATGCTGTTTCTCACTACGTGATTAATAGCTGTAAAAACAACTCTTACTATTTACATCCTATTTTATCTTCTCTTGTCAGGATGTTCTCCGTCCAAAAGATGTTTTAAACCAGAAATATCCAAGGAAAAGAGCCCTCTATCTTGCAGGACTTGCCCAACACCTGAAGTCCTCCTCTGACATTGGGACAATGCGCTATTCTTGTCTCCATGGTAATAGACTCCATCCAGTCCTGCTGCTGACTCCCTCAGGTAATCACTTTCAAATCACATTTATTCTCCCTCAATAGAGAAATTCTCTCTTTGCATTTAGCCCCTTGGGGAGCAGTGGGCTGCCATTGTGTGGCGCCCGTGGAGCAGTGTGGAGTTAAGGGTCTTGCTCAGACACCCAGAGTGGAAGTCTGTGGCTTGAACTCAGAACCTCTGGAACCCAAACGCATTGCTCTAACCACTAGGCCACCACTCCCCAATTAATGACAAAAATCAATGGCTTACTATAAAAGGCTTAAAGAATTTACTGATGTTGCTTACATTTCATGTGATATAATAAAGGACTGAGATCAGATATGTTTTGGTGACTGATGTTTGTTTGTTTTTTAGGCAAAGACTCTTCGTGTTTCACTGTATGTGTTCATGTCTGCCCGCCTCCTGGGTTCTTCAAGCCCAGTCGGTTCCACCCCCAGAGGAATAACATCAGGTCAGAGTGGTATACTGGACTGCAGGCTTCCCATGCTGGTAAGGAGAGCACTATTGCCAATTTTTGTCAAAAATCTCTTGTTTTGGTTATCAGTAAACAGGCTTTTCTAATTTGTTGACTTGGAAAACTTTAATTGTCTTTGCCATGTCCAGGATTATTTGGAACATAATGCATTGGTGCATTGAAAAAACGGTGTACAATTCTGAATTCATCACAGTTTTTTCTTTTTTTTTTACTAGCACAGCTAAATTCTCAGCATAATGCCGATACTGTTTATAGCCAAAGCGTTGGATATTAAGCTCTCTGACCAAAGCAGACAAACAGCCTCTGATGATATATGTAATGCTGTGTAATATATATAAGCATGTTCTTACACCACGTGTTTTGTTTGGTTTCAGAGGGTAGCGGACCTCCAACTCCACACTACAACACCTCTGTTTTGGCAGATTTATTGCCCAGGGCTCATTTCCAGTTTCTTTCTGCCATCAAATCCCAGTGCTCAGCTTTCTGTGATGGTGTAGCTTTGCTCAAAGTCTGGCTTCATCAAAGAGAGCTGGACCAGGTAGGAACCTTTCGCTAATTATTTTATATCTTATTTACATGACATACATATTTAATGCATGTTGTAATGACTCCTACATTTCTGTCAAAATGTCTTTTAGGGCACTGGTTGTTTTAATGGATTTCTCGCTTCAATGCTCATGGCGTATCTGTTGATCAATCATCGGATCAGTAACTCCATGACGGCCTATCAGCTGCTTCGAAACAGCTTGAATTTCCTAGGTAAGTAGATTTTTTCATCAGTTTAGTTTTATAACAGAGATTAGATTGGCTGTAAACCATTAGGAATACTCAGCTCTTCTTTAACTTTTAGCAACTACAGACCTGACTGTAAGCGGGATAAGCCTAGCAAGGGATCCTGATTCCACAGCTGTGAGTGAATGAACCTACTATCAAACAGTCCCCTTGTATGTTTTTTTTCTAACCTGTGCTATAATATTTTCTTTGTCTTTTCATGCAGCCGTCTCTTGCAGAGTTCCACAGTGCGTTCCAGGTTGTCTTTGTTGACCCCTCAGGACATCTTAACATGTGTGCTGGCATGACTGCTTGTACCTACAAACAGGCAAGAACTATTAAAGCGACCGCTGCTTTAAATGCAGTCATCGTGTGCAGTGACATCAAGTGACCAGTTTTGATCTTTTTAATGTCCAGCTGCAGCATGAGGCCGTCGTTTCTATGAAGTTCTGGGACGACCCGACGGTGGACGGCTTCCACTGCCTCCTCATGACCCCCAAACCGATGATCAGGACAAGCGACCATGTTTTCCAGTATGTTTAATTTCCTCCTCAGTCCTTCAAGTACGCCAGGCAAAGTGCCCATTTCTAATGGTCATGATCACCTCTCCAGCAGGAACATTTTTCTGTTTGTTTATATTTAAAGTGTAGTTTTGACTTTTTTTTTCTTCTAATTACCATATCAATGATGTTGTAGTTGCAATGGGGTCCTGTGTTGCTTTCAATGACAATGTGTGTGGCCAATTATGTTTTTTTGGGTATGAGATGGAACTATGTCTAAATACAAATGTGCCCTGTGCTTTCAATGTTTATAAGCTTAAATCTTTTTCTTTTTACATCCATTAACCAAGATTAGTAAGGTCTATTCATTGCATAAGAAATCAGTGGTTCCATTACACTCAGTCACTGATGCTCTAGCTGTGTTCTTGTTTTAAAAAGAAAAAATAAATGTTTTTTTTTTTTACTTGATTAACAGAAAACAAAAATGTATTCTATAAAACTCTCACTCAGGTTATGTGACTTGGTGAAGCTCCAAGCTTGCTGTAAGAAACAGAACCTTCTCCATGAGTTGATGGACCGCAGTGGAAATTATGTCGAGACTGCGCTTCCGTTTGTCCTCTCGCTGCTCCAGAAAGGTCTTGGCCAGAGGATTCACCTCCTCATCCACTCCCTCTCTCCTGACCCAGAGGTTCGACAGTTCTCTAACTGATTTAGTCTAATCTAGAAAAACAGTCAATCATACAAACTTTTTTTTTTCTTTTCTTGAAGTGGTCTGTGGAGAGCGAAGCCCCGAAGTACAAGGCTCAGCCTCCCCTTTCCTTCGGTTTGCTTCTAAATCCAGAGTTGGCAGCTTCCGTCTTGGAAAGAGGTCCACCAGCAGACAATCCCAAGGTAGCCTCCCTTCACTGTCCTCACTGCAAAAATATTTTATTTCTTCTGAGCCTAAAGAGATTTATGGTCACTTTGTCACTACTATTGATAGATTTTAGGTAGTTCAGAATACTACCAATTAAATGTGAGTAAAATTCATAGTATTCTGCATGTTGTGTGTGTTAAAGTTTGTTAAAAAAAAAAAAAGACAATCTTTCCTATAACTTTTAAAGAATTAAGGTTTTATGCTAAACCAAAACGTTATATGGACCTGTTACAGCTGGGTTTTTTTTTTCGCAACTACATTCGATGGGCTAACTTATTTTAATCAGAAAATGAATCAAACAGGATTCCATTTGTTGTCTCTCTGCCAGGCAGCAGAGTTCCGTCAGCTTTGGGGCTCTCGCTCCGAGCTGCGTCGCTTCCAGGATGGTGCCATCACCGAGGCGGTGCTTTGGGATGGAAAGAGCACGTACCAAAAGAGGCTGGTCCCCAAACAGATCATCACACACCTGCTACAGCTGTATGTATTTCCTCCTGGCAGGCCTTATGAAATAATCCAAAATTTCCCTGGTTTGGGTAGATGTTTGTGTTACGCACGCACTTCTCCTGCAACCTCCAGGCCTGTGTTGTGCTGAAAAGCTTCTGTCAGATGCTCTGTACAGTAAGTTGCCCCCCTGATGACAGCTTGTATGTATGGAGCATAGCTGACCTTCCCTGCCAGTCTTCTGTTATGAATGAACAGGAAACTGTAACATACTTCTGAAAGGGAATGGCTGTCCAAAAATCAGCAGTGAGAGCCACTTTCTCCACTTCAGCCAGCTTCCTCATGACATCCTCTGCCTTTTCATTGTAATGGCTCTCAATGCTGCATGTGATTTCATCAGCAGATGTCACATTAGATTTATACACAGTGTGGCTCAGGAGCTTTCTGAAGCCATCCCCTTCAACCACACAGATGGGAAACATGTCCTTTATCATTCTGATGATGAGTTCATTAACCCCTGCAGTCCTTTGCATGGCTGTGCTGTTCTGTGGTTTCTTCATGTGTTCGTTTCTTAATGTGGTAAATCATGCTGGTCATGTACTTCAGTTTAATGTAAAAAAAATTACATTGGACCTCCTCGTCTACTTTGACAAAAGCGTCCCACATGGAGCTCGGCTTGTTTTGCCTCCATTCTGGGGTTTTGTCCTCCGCAGTGTGGGCATCCCTCATTGCCTCTAGATCCTCGGTGTCCAGAGCCGTCCTTGCTCTTGCCCCACTGGGGGATGGACACCTGGTGCTAAGTGAGCCTGTGGGAGATCATGGTGCTGGTGGTTCTGCCGCAATTTCTGAGTTTGGCGTCACATTTCTTGCAGCGAACAAGAGTCAAGACCCACTTAGTCGCACGCTTGGCTCCACTTCCCATGTTTTAAAACGGCTCTGGAAAATAAAATAAAAAACCTTCAAGGGCCCTTTATTTGCATCTGTAAACCAGCAGAGTTTAAAAATAAAGGCCGGCTGCATGACATACAGTATTATGACAATATTATTATCATCATAAACTTTGAAGTCTTAAGGAAGTTTTAAAGGGATTATGAATTGTTTAATCAATCAAAGTTTAAACCGTATTCACAAAGAACAAGGTAATGCTGTAAAATGCAATTTACGGCTGCTCATTGGCACACTGGGTAGCACTGCTGCCTTGCAGCAAGAAGGTTCCGGGTTCAAATCTCGACCTGGGGTCTTTCTGCATGGAGTTTGCATGTTCTCCCTGTGGATTCTCTCTGGATATTCCGGCTTCCTCCCACAGCCCAAACGCATGACTTTTGGGGTAATTGGCTTCTCTCAATTCTCTTCATGTGTGAGTGATGGTTGTGTGTTGCTCTGCGATGGACTGGTGACCTGTCCAGGGTGTACCCCACCTCTCGCCCATCGACAGCTGGAGATGGGCACCAGGACCCCTCACGACCCTTTTTGGGATAAGTGTTTCCAGAAAATGGATGGTCCATTTCAGTTTATTTTTTGTTTTGTTTTTTTTGCCAGACATGCAGATATCCCAGAGTCCTGTGTGCGTTTTGTCGGAGCCATGATAGATGATATCATCGCAAAAGGAAATGAGGTAAAATATGGAGATTGTTTTAAGTGTTTTATTTTTAAAAAACTGTAAAGTTAGAGTACAACTAATTTTTATAAAGTTCTTGTCAATGTTGAAAAAACAAAACAAAGATTCTGTGTTTATTACCTTGACATTAAAAGGCATTTTTTTTTTAAAAGGAATGTATTCATTTCAACCTTTAAAGCTAAATGGCAACTAGTCATCTTGGTTTTCCAAAATTACAGTTTCTACAATTTTATATTCTACCCTTCCTCTGATTTTCTAAGTCCTTTTAGTTAGAAGCCAGAAAAGGTGACAGTGACCAGAGGTGTCAGAAGTATTAATGGTTATAACTCAAGTAGAAGTATAAATTCTGTTTAAAAGTATGTTTTGTAGAAGTTAGGGTATTAACTTAAGCTTTTTACTCAAGTTAAAGTGTCAAGTACCTTTTTTTTTATTTTTTATAAACTACTTTAGTAATAAAAGTAATGACTTAGACAAACTTTGTCATTTTGTGAACAGCGTGTACAAAACGAAATTTCGTTTTGTACAGCTCTCATGACATTTGCATCAATTATGTTAAAAACATGCTTTAAACCTTATACTGGTTACTGCGCAACTGTATTAAAGGAATTTTTCTAAAGCTCTGGATAATAACTTCTTTATACTTAATTTTCTTAGTTTTATATCTAATGCTAACAGTGTCAAATTTTGCATCATCTTGGAATAACTATTTTTATTTATTAGTCCAACCACAAATAAATTGTCTGGATGAAACAAATAAATTGTCTGAATGAAACTAATCATTTTGGTAGATTTAATATTTTTTTTTTAAATACCAACAGTCCATAACGAAAATGAGCTTAAATGAGGGGGAAAAAAAAAAGGTTTTAAAATGTAAGGAGTAGAAAATGGAGATAAGATAGGAGAGTGTGATTCAATTAGAGCCTACCATTTTGATTGTTTTCTTTATTTTTCAACTGTTACAAGAACATTTGACGCCTGGTGTTACTGATGGGTTGGACGTCGGGCAGTAATATAGTAATATTTTGTCTTGGACTATTAAATACTCATAGGTATAGGCCGACACCTATTAATTTTAATAGATATCGGCCTATATTAAGTTTAATACGCTATCTCCTTTCCGTGCCTTATTGACGGTAACACTGTTTGTATTTTATTTTTTGATTACATTTCTGCACTTCTTGTATAATTTTACCAGTGAAATACTGTTTCTAAATCAGCTCCACAATCAGCTGTGTGTTCTGCTTAATAGTGCAGCAACACTGTTTGGTTGAACACGTTTAGCATTAAAGCAAGGTCTTCTTTTGGTGAAACCCACTAATTATGGCTTGTGTTTAAGGAGTCAGAAATGGACGTCTGAATCTGGATTTCTGAGCAGTTTAATGAAATACCCCTCTGTTCTTTGGGCCGTTGCTTTCGAATCCTGCAGGTGGAAATCCTCCAGAAAGTGTTAAAGTTTTCTAAAGAAAAAAGAGCTGTTCAACTAAAATGTTCAGGTTGCATCTGTCCTTTTTTTCTGTTTGTTTTTAACCCTTTACATTACAATTCCCTTTAGGTGCCAAGTACTGGAGAGGAGGAGAGCTTAGTCGTGGTGCAGTCCTACGATGATCTAAGCAGGAAACTGTGGAACCTGGAGGGTCTGCCTCTTTCCATTACTGCAGTGCAAGGAGCCCACCCTGCCCTTAGATACACACAGGTATTATTTTCCCTCCATAAGGACAAAGCTTTCCCATTTGCACTTAGATTAAATATTACTACACCTCCCTATTTATAAAGGTGTATATGATGTTTCTTATTTCCAGGTGTTTCCTCCAGAGCCAGTGAAGCTGGACTATTCCTTCTTTGACCGAGAAAAGACTTGCAGGTCTTTGATTCCAAAGGAAGACAAACCCTGTCCACATTATATCACTCCTATAACAGGTCTGTACATCGACTCTGTGCCACCTGTGCTTCTTTCATTTAGGTCATTTCTTCTCTTGGAACATGAGTCTTCTCGTCCAGATTTCTTCTTTATTTACAATGGGAAGAAATTCATGTACTTTCAGATTTATTTTCAGATTTGTTTTCTTTCCAACCAAACAGTAGCACAACAGACTCCATTCTTATCAAGTCATCATGTTCAGATTGGACTCCCTTGATGAGTTGACTGGAGTCTTGTGTGCTATTGCTTGGTTGGAAAGAAAACCTGCAGCCACACGGCCCTTTCTGGAACCAGTTTGACACCCCTGGCTTAGATGATATGAGAGCATTTATTACAGAACCAGACAACAGGGGAGCAGTAACTCTGGAGGAGCAGCAATGCTCCACAGCTCTGGTTTGGAAAACAATAGATATTTGTAGGCTCCGCATCTGTTCTTATATTGTTAGAGAGGCAAGATGAAAAAATGTGTTTAACAAAATCCATAAGAGGACTTGTTTAAAGTTAGCCGTGAACCACTTGGAGGACTTGCAGCAAATATGTTGGAAAATGAACTTTTTGGACTGTATGGCAGGAAACCTGGACTATATGTCAGCCTCTACACGCCTCACTGCAGCTGAACATGTTGGTGGCAGAATCATGTGATGATGCTTTCAAAAAATGTTAGCCTCTAGAACTACTAAGCTGATATAGAGACTCCAAAAGGTTAAATGCAAATGCACAACATGCTTTATAGTTTTTTGTTTTTTTTTTTTATTTGTGGAAAAATATCTAAATCAAACAGAACTTTCTGTGCACTACTTTGCACCATTAAATAAAACGGAAGTATGCATTTCTAATATAGTTAAATAGAATAGAACAAAGAATATTAGAATCTAGCAGCACAGATGCTGCTGCTTGCTGTACAAGTATTTATAATAATACACCGACAAAAGCGGTCACTGTTAATAACTATTATGCATCTGGCTTCTTCGTGGCACACGTTTGCAGAGTGGTGCTCCTCATATGCAGGCTGTTTTAAACTTGATGCTAGCCAAGCTGTAGATTTCTGCAATCAAAATCACGAAATCCAGAGCTTTTGCTGTACCAAGATGGCTTCTCATAGCCACAGCAGCTTTACAGTCCCACATGCTCTCATATGTTTCTTGCAGTGATTTGTCACATGGAGGGAAGTGGCAAGTGGCCTCATGACCGAACTGCAATCCGCCACATCCGAGCTGCCTTCCACATCAGCCTGGCAGAGTTGCTCAAGAAGAACTACAACTATACTTGCAGGCCCTGCCCCACTCACTTAGACGTTTGGAAGGTAAATATTGCAGTTAACTTGAAGTTGTTTGTTAAAGTTCTGCCTTTTAGAGCGGTGTAGATTTTGCTTCTAAAGTTGTAATTAAAGCATTTCTTATAAAGATTGCTGACTGGATATCATGATCCGTCTTACCTCAGCATAGGGTGTGGTTTAATAGTCTATTTTTGGGGGTTTTTAAGCATTTTTTTGGAAAATCTGTTTTCTTTTAGGATGGTTTGGTGTTTCGGATCCAGGTGGCCTACCATCGAGAGCCTCAGGTGCTGAGGGAGAGCGTGACTGCTGATGGTCTGCTGGTTGTAAGAGACAATGAGGAGGCTCAGGCTCTGGAGATGGCCACTATTCACAAGCCTCTCTTAACAAGCACATTGCACGGGTACGGCTGAGTTAAGAGGCTTCCCATCATCTTTTAAATGTACTAAATGTTCTTCACCGCACGGTTTAAGTTTTGTTGCATTGATGAAATTATAGAAATGCAAAGAAATCTTTCTATGGTGGACATGTTTCTGTTGGGAGGAGTTGATTGAGTTATGTGGAACCAACCAGGAACTGACATCCATCAGATCAGAGCTCTCTAACCATGAAATCCCACATCCTCCGTCACCATCGTTCCTTGGTGTTATTTTTATTTTGATTATTTGGGGGTATACATGGGTGGTAAAAATCAGATGCCTGCATCAGAGTGCTACCTGTTTTATCTGTGGACTTTTTTTCTCTTGCATGAAACAAAACTAGCAGCAGTAGGGGAGTTTGGAGATGTAATATATTTTCTTAAATCTATCTTTGCGCTCCTTTAATGTATCCAGAAGTTCTGCAATCGCATTCTTTCTCTTACTCACAACTTTGTGATCGGCTGCATATTTAGCCTTCCCTGGGAATACCTTTGCACATTACTATTTTTATTATTTGACAAATTCTCGTGCCAAAGCAAAAATGCAGGCAATCCATCCGCATTGATAATGAAAGCAAATGATATGGTCCATTCTTCTTTGAATCATCTGTTCTTATCAGGTATCTTCCTTTTTTGCCCTTTGGGATCCATGGCCCAAGACACACCCTGAAACGTGTGTTGCAGGCTTTGACCACTGATCTCTATGGCTATGATGCACATTTTCGTTGAAATAAATGTTTACATATATTGTTTACATTTATTTATTATAAAAATATTTACAGCATTGGAAAAAATAATGAATGTCTGTTTGACCTCCTGCACACCAAATTAAAATAAACAAATCAATAAAATACATTTTTCAAAAATCTTTGAAAAAGCTCCAGGGGGGTGCTAAGAAGCCGCATGCAGTTTTGGAGCCGCGGGTTGCCCACCCTCGTTGTAGATGTTCACGTTTTTCTGCTTTTTATCTTTATTAAGTCTCCAGCAGCAGCACCCATGTTTCGGAGCAGTGTGTCGCCTGGCTAAGCGCTGGCTCGCTGCTCAGCTCTTCAGTGAAGCCGTTTCAGAAGATGCAGCCGATCTGTTGGTGGCGTCGCTTTTTCTGCAGCCTGCTCCCTTTACTCCTCCGAGGTAAGCCCTAATTCTGCCTTTTACTCTCTGTTTAACATAGAAAGCACGTTTCCTAGCCCGTCTTGTTTAGTAGGTCATGTGAATGAATTTTTTTCCCTCTTCCTCAGCTCTCCCCAGGTGGGCTTCCTCCGATTCCTTCGTTTGCTCTCTGCCTTTGATTGGAGGAACAACCCGCTGGTGGTCAACCTCAACAACCAGCTCACAGGCAGGTTCTCGCTCACACGCCCCCTTTTCCCAACTTTGCTAAAACAAAAACAAACCCCTCCTGACCTCCTTCCCTTTACAACCCCGACATACTTTAACATCCTGCTTGTGAGTTGCTGTTTCTGTCCAGTTCAATTGTTGTTCGCCTCTCTGTCACGTGCAGCTGCAGAGTACACAGAGATCAAGAATGACTTCATGGCCTCTAGAGAGTCTCTGCCTGTCATGTTCATAGCAACACCTAAAGACAAAAAGCTGTCTATGTGGACCAGACGGGCACCCAGTGTGCAGGTCAGCAAACACGCACCACATTCAATGGCTTGGATTAAAAACTCACATAAATTAGGCCAAACTGGATAATTTAAAATGCAAATGTATATATATTCAGGTTAGTTTCACATTTTTTAAAGTGTACATTTTATTCATCTGTCTTTTAGTTATAAATAAAATCATAAGCAGCGATGGAGAAAAGAGTTGCATGTCCTGGGAAGTGAGCAATCGCATAGTTTTCCAATCCTGGATCCTTTTCTTAAAGCACACTGTTCTCCTGGATCACACTGTAAAGAAAAAAAAAGCAAATAAAAACAAGTTGGCAAATATTTGGGTTTAAATCCATTTTAATTGGACTCGTTTGTTGCATTGCTTACCACAGGCAGATAGCTATGTTTTTTTCTTAGAGCTGGGAATTGACTGTTTTGAAGTCTTTCCAAAACCTGGTGTAAATCATTGATCTGCAAAATCATAATGAAAAAAAATATCTGGGCATCAAAAACTTCCCTCTTCCTAAGGACATCAATAATAATGTCTAATAAAAGCCATTTGTTTGATGGCTTCACTTGTAGCTTACCAGCTGCCTTTCATTGTCATCCTCTGTTGCAGTGAAGTAAGTTAAATATTTAGTTTTGTGCTCTTCTGTTTGGGTTTGAGCGTCGCTACAAAAGAGTCCAGTGTAGCAAAGTTGCATATAAAAGAGAAACGCACACCAGCCTCCCATTGTGACCCAAATAGGTTTCCTGTGCTTTCCAAGCTTGACCCTCCAACAAACGCAGTCTTAATAAGCAGCGCTGTCTTTTATACCGCTGACAAAAAGCAGGATCTTAGTGACGCGCTGACAGAGACGTCACGGTGGGGAAACGTCCCTTGTTCTCATCTAAAGCTTGTCTCATGCATAGATATCTCCCAGGTACTGCAGTTTAAATATTTCTAGTAGTTTTGATGAATATATCTCGCAGCTGTAGAAAATCAATAATTTTCTCAAATGTGGATCCTAAATAGACATTTTACGACATTTTAATCTCTGAAATGTTTTGTCATTTTTAGTTATGGAGAAGATTGTTCATTAGTTCAAAAACATAGTTGCAAGAGAGATGCATTCAGGCATTAGATGCAGCCCTTGGAAGCAACCTCATCTTCTGGTGTTGGTTAGCTGTGCTTATGTCCAAAGTGATGACTATAGCAATCTGCTTCCTTCTACTAACAAGCTTTATGAAGAGAATTTCATTTTCCAACAGGACTTTGCAGCTGCCTACAGTACCAGCATTGAGTTTAGTGACCCAACTATTGGTTTATTTAATATGCACTGAACTGACCTCATCTAAACTCCACAAAGACTCCATCTTTTGTGTGTTTAGTAGATGAGAACAAGCTGGAGGCTGCTGCTAAAGCAACCTCAGCTACCATACCACCTCAGCAGAGCTTCACTGGTGGATAACCTTCATGCCACATGGCATCAAATGCATTATATCTGTAATTCATGCCCCAAAAAGTTACTGATTGAAGATGATGTAGAGTGGATTGACATACCTCTGTATTGATCTCATGTATTATGTGAAGTGTGGATATCTTTAGCTGTAAAATACATTCAAAATGACCAGAATCAAGCCTTAAGATGCATCCACTAGTCTATGGGTACTAATTCTGTTTTACGCACTAGTTCAACTTTTTGAAGTTAGTTATTTAACTTAAAACACTTTAAATGCTTGTTGCTACTTTTTAGTCTGGTCTTAAAACGGATAAAACTAAATCCCTTCTTAATCAGATTTGACTCCGACTGCACACAGTTCAAAACCAAACTGAGTCAAATGTGTCCATTCCGCTTTAATCTGAACTGCTTTCCTGTGGCACCACTAGGGGGCGCTCATGAATTGATTATTCCGCTGCTGAGAAATCCTTGCCTTTCAGTTACTACACTGAATACCTTATTAGAGTTAAATGTAAAATAAGGACCTTTTTACTGTCTTAGAAATAAGAATAACTTAGAATAAGATAAGATGGACTTTATTGGTCTCACAGTAGGGAATTCACTTGTCACATCTGCTCAAATAGACAAAAGAAGAAGCCAAACGGAGGAAACGGTGCATTGGGTACATGCACCACACATTCACCCTATGCACCTTTTCCTCCTTTTGGCTCCTTCTGTTGTCTGAAGTCTTTTTATGTATTGAATTATTGTTTAGGAGGGAATCAATTATTATTATTATTCCCCAAAAACATTACCCATCTTTCTTTTTTTGTTGTTTTTTTTCTGTTAACATTTGTTAATCTTCTGGGGGCATTTTTCATTTAACAGGACACATAATTTTAAATGCATCACATATTCTTTAGTAGTACCAGGACATTTAATAAACATAATGCGTTTTTTAATTGCAGAGGAACACAATTTTGGTCACATTACATTTAACAAGAGTTAACTTTCTCATTTTAGCTCTTAAGTGGGTTTGCTTTACACTAAAGGGGAGAGAGCATTGCAGCTAGTACATAGATCCATGCATGAGAGTAGAATAAAGCATTTTTCCTTACAGCAGTACAGTCCTGCCTTAATGGGCTTTGGAAATATTAACTTTAAAGGCCATAAAAAAAACCAAAAAAACCCTGGATTGTGGTTAGAGCAATGCAAAATCAAAATAAAACTGCAATATTGGTTGGAAAAATGCTCAATGTTCAATGTGTGCTTTGATGGTCACCAAACCTGGAATCTAGAGCTATCTTATTAAAGCAACATTGATGATAAAAATATATCGCTTAATAGAAATTCTTTGACGTGGAGAGTTTATTTCTGATATTTCAGATGCTTCAGCGCGTGATGATGGTGGCGGCTGAGAGCCTTAAGGTACTGGAACAGCAGCTGATGGACGGCAGCCAGATCCAAGATGTCAGGGTGGGTGAAAAGCTTTGATTTATTCACAGCTACACTCCACTTAAAGCTACAGTGTGTAATAATTACAGGGATATACAGTCAGAAATGTAATATATTATACATAACTATGTTATTTATCATCATCTACGAGCTCAGCCTCTTAACCTTAATATTTGCGTTGCCTTAGAATTCGTTATTTATAATTACATAGGAGCGGGTCTCGCAGGCATGGAGGCAGACATCTTTGCGCTACGGCAAGCGCAGAGCCAACAAACTAGCGATTGCGAGATCGCCCATTACAATAACATGCTGCGTGATGATGCTGTTACTCTCCAGTATACTTATTTAGCAACGTCCCTGACGTTTCACAGGTAATGATTCAGTAATTTTCTGTAAAATAAATACCTCGTTTACTTCTCTCCAGCTCCTTTGGAGATCTTCAAGCCTTTCCTCCTCTGCTCTAGTCACCCCGCTGGCACCTCTCCCTCGCTTGGCCCCTGCTGCACGCCCACCCCGGCCTCTCTGCCCTCTTCCTCGCCCTGTAACCCGAGGGGTGGCGGTGTATTGTGATGTTCATGTTGCTGCGGTCTGCAGTCTGGATGTTAGATGTCTCTGAAAATTACACACTGTAGCTTTAAACGGTTAATTGAATTGAAGGATATCTCAGCTTCTAAATGTTTTTGTTTGTTCCCCTTCCTGTGCTTTAGGTTATTATGCGCCCTCCACTTGATGCATATGATGTTTTGATTCACCTGAATCGGAAGCAGGTTCCTCTGCTCAGACATGCTGTGGACCCTCCAGCTGTGTCTTTTAGCAGAGGAGTATTAGCTGACGCTGCAGCTCAGCTCGGAGGAGCCCTGCCTGTTATCGACTACAACCCTGTGTCTCTCTACCTGACAGAGCTTAGAGTGAGTCTTGCTCAGCCTTACATAATTATTTATACAGTTTTTATTTTTTCATTGAGAAGAAGTGATTAGTGCAAAATAATGAAAGATTTGAGAAAGTGCTTTCAGATGAGCCGGCAGAAAGTTTTCTGGAATCTGGAGTCCAGTGTTTTATTTTGTTTTATCCTTTTTTGGAGCTAATAGTTGGAGTGGAATTGAATTGGAGTGTTGCATTACTACCCGCTTTCTCCGGTGCAGGAATTCCACTATTTGCAGTATGTTTACAGCTGTTTAGAGTTGCTGTACTTGTCTGAAGTCCAGCAGCGTTTCATTCAAAATTTTCCTGTTTGTAGTTTCCTCCAACTTCCGATCAACTTTTTTCTTTTACCAGCCTCCCTGTTGTTTTTGAAGAAAACTTCCTGCAGCAGGATTCTCCTCCTATGTTTCACCATTAGTGTAACCTAGTCTTGCCATTGATTAACGGGCCAAGGGTTATAGGCTATATTTCAACTGAAATTGAATGGATTTAATTAGATACCTTCTGAAAACATCTGGTTTTATCTAGCTGACAAATCTGAATACAAATGCACACCATACTTTTCAAAATTTTATTCAAAATTATTAAATGTATAACAATCTTCACAAATATGGAAATGTCTGGTTCTATTGCATGAAATTCAAATAAAATGCTTTAATACTCTGACTGGATTTAGCAAAACTGAAAAGGGTCAGTAGCTGCAGTCATTTTCTGCAAACAGTTTGGTTTTAGTATTTCTTCTTCTGTCATTAAAGCACGGTTACTTACTCCCTCCTTCCCCACTCCCACAGTTAGTTGGAAAAAGGAAACTTACCAGATTTATTTTTCTCAATTTTTTTTAATTTTTACAGGAGGCATTTGGAGACCTAGCCCTGTTCTTCTGTGATCCATATGGTGGAACGGTGATTTCAGTCTTATGGAAACCTAAAGCCTTTGAACCTGTGCCTTTTAAAGTGAGAACCCTGCCTTTCAAATGTTGATTGTTCGCCGTCTTCTTTCTTCCCCCCTGACTCCTTCATGATGTTTTAACGTTTCCTCTCAGACGTCTCAGGTGGCTGCTCGAAGCGTGAAGGTGACAGGTGAGGAGGTGAAAACCGTTCCCAATGTTGAAGCAATCCTGGAGGACTTCCGTGTGATTGGAAAGGGTTTGGTGAAATCGGTGGAAGCAAGAACTGAAAAATGGATTTTTTAGACTGAAAACACCTCATTTTTTTATTCCATCAAATATTCTATTAACATGACATTTTATTTGAATGCTTAAAATTGACTAAGATAAAGAAAAGGACCAACAACACTTTAATCCTCTTAAACAGCCAATATTGTAATTGTATTGTTTAAAAAGATAAACTCAATATTTGTTCTTGATGGTCTGTTTTGTGTTAATAAATGCATTTCAACCTTTATGGCTTCAGATGATATTCTGTCATGTTTTTCTTACATGAACCAACTCGCACTATAATTCACACCAAATATTAACATCCACAGTTGGAGAACTGGCCAGTAGATTCAGGTTGAGTGGTTTAGGTTCGATTCTATGAGATTAGTTTTCTTTTTTAGAAACCATATTGAGAACTTCTTTGGTTGAAAGTTTGAGGTCATTCAACTTCTATCTTGAGATTTTGCATTTTATTGGACTGTAACTGATTATTTTGCAAATCGATTAATCTGTTTGTTTTTTTCAACTGCTAATCCGATAGCAGGTTCCTTAAAGATTTTTTTTACTAAATTAAACCAGGTGAAGCCAAAACTTTTCCACATGAGATCTGGATAGAACATATTGACGGACAAAAGACGTTTTTTAATCTTAGATCGCTTTGATCAACTTTACGTCTGTTGCGGCTTTCGCCGCAGCATGCTGGTCATGCATTTTCCCTATGGTACTTCGCTTCATGGTCATTTTTAAGATAGAACGAGCTCGAGTCCATCAGCTACGATAATGGGCGGAAAGCTTGTGGATGTCCATTGAGCGAGGCGATTGGTCAGCGTGGCTTATAGAGCTGTCCTTAACCTGCATCCATGTCAGCCGTGGTAATTTCACAGTACGCCAAGACTGATTCATTCTCGCCCCAGATATGTATCCGTGCTAAAATATCAAAGTGAAAGTCATTAGTATAGACCCAGCTCCCAACCCAACTGTGGGAATAGATTAACAGCGATTTTATATATATATATATTTTTTTAATCGCCCGACAAGAGTCTGGCGTTAACGCCGATAACGGCCTATCGCTAATGTTTTTACATTTTTGATAGAATTACTGCTCTAAGTGGGTTGCTCTGTCAGCTAAAGGCATGTTTTATAGTCTCTATACTCCATTTAATGAATATTTCAATAATCGATTAATCTGATTGAGCCTTTGTATTCAGCCTTTGTATTTTATAATCTCTACTTTAGACATCACTGTTCCAAGGTGTTTTTAGGGTATAGTTCTATTTCACCTTCAAAGCTAATGCGTGCATCAACGGCTGTCTTCCTTTGAGGTTTTATTTGACATTATGTCCTCCCAATATTGCATGGACTTGTCCAAATGTGTTGCAGCAGCCTTAAGATGAGCAACATGCTTTTTCTACAGAGGTATGCTCTTGATCTGCATGTGCTCTGAGGCTAATGCTGTTGCATCCTTTGTTTACTTTGAAAATCTGTGCGTGCTATATTCCACGTTTTCAATAAGATTTCCACTAGAAGTCCTTATACACCTCTCTGAACTTTTCCCTTGACTGCTCTGTTGGATGTTATGGGAGAATAACTCTGTAATTGGTTTTGTTTTGTTCCTTTTTCAGGTAATGAGGCAATTAGACGTATTACTTCAGTGGTTAGAGGTTTAGCTGAGGGAAAACTTTAGCAACATATAAAGTTCTTGGAATCAACTGTACTATCAGACCAATATGTTAAGAATGTATAGTAGTGCTGCAATTGGTTTCCACCCAATGGACTTCTGAATCCTTTGTGATTCACTCCCCATGAACCGTGTATTTTAATTACTCAAACTGGATTCGGTTTGTTCTTTCTTGGATACTGTTATCTGCCAAGAATTGTTTTGAATACCTTTTTTTTTTTTTTTTTTTACTGTCGCCAGTAAATGACTGTTGAGCACAGATGAGACCTTTCTTTGTAGATGGCAGTTGAGACAACGTGTCTGTTGCTGTAAAGGATTCATGGAAAGGGCTGGTTCCTCTGCATGCTTTCTAGGAATTGAAGTGGTTGACAACCGCCACAGCCCTAAAGGTCCAAACATCTCTTAAGATTATTATTTCTAATACTCTTATGAAGGGAAGGTTGAAGGATTGCATGTCTAGAGGCTGATTAAGTTTGACAAGCACTTCTAGGAATCAGTTCATCAAACCATACAAGCTTTAACATCCTGAAACCATGTGATTATCCAACGTGCAGAGATTAATCCTTCCAGGAATGTAAATATTTATTTAGGGTTTCCCCTGTAGAACCTGTGCTATGTGCTACACTTATGTATTTATCTTCATGTTAAGTCGTTTTTAGAGCACAGATGGTTTAACCAAAATGGGGGGGTTAATTCAAAGGAAATTAATATGAAACTCAGTCTGGATGGGATTTCTAATATGAGTTACAAGAAAGGAACTCGGGAGGGTCTCTGATTAAATGGGCCCCCATCGTCTCAAACCCTGAGGGTCTAGACTTTGCACTGTCGGCATTTTTAACTGCCTGAAAGTAGATCAAACTCCTGGAAGGGCTACATGTACAGTATTATGAAGTCAGAGCCGACAAGAGCCACAGAGAGCTTCAATAATACTTGGAAAAACTGCTTCTAAAACGGTTGGAACCTGTGAATGTACTCGAATAAAAGCAACATCTCTTGTCTCTGGATACAAAAACGTTAAAAAAATACAGGCAGCCTTGAGCTCCTCACCATCTGGACCTGATTAACTTGTCTTTGCTTCAGACAGGTAAACTCTGCTGCAGTCTTTTAAGGCATGTTAAAATGAAAGCATGCCAACTTTATGGACTGAAGGTTTTGCTCCTCTTAAGCGATTCACATTTTTTATTTTATATTTTTGGCTGTCATTTTAAAGAAGCTATATCAAACCTTCACAATCTATCTTTTTCTAAAACAGAACAATATAAGGTAAAATCAGTCTCAAAAGTACTTTAAAAAGAGGGCATTTAATGATTTCTTTGTTTTACTGGCAGCTTGACTAACAGATGTCCAGTTATACGCCTTACATAACCTACCTGTTACCTATTAGAATTTCTTATTTAACAACCAAAAAGTTGTTGTTTTGAATTTAATCTAATACCACAAGGTTTTGCATAACTTTAAAATCATTTTATATCTTAAACAAGTTTGACGTGCATAATAAACAGCCCAAACTACAAGTTCTTAAGGCCAACCTGTGACTCTATTGCTTTTTGTAAAAGAGCTCAAGCATCAAGCTGAATGTGTAATACTTGAGACCAGAAAGTTTCAATGGAAATTGCCCTTTGCTTTGACTAGACATTCATGAGTTTTATCTCTTCAGCTATAGCCAACTTTGGTTGTGGTTAGCTTTTTCCCTCGAGATTTGTTTATTGTCACTAAAACTTTAAATCCTGGTCTCATCTGATCAGACTACCTTCTTCCATGTCTATGCTGTGTCTCCAAATGAGCACAAACCCAGGTGTGTCTGTTGGTTATATCGGCCTGCTGCTGATACATGGCATTCTTCTTACTGATGAGCAAAAAAAGGGGTCATTCTCAGAACTTGCTTGTACAGCTCTGCATTTCAAATTTATCTTACCGAAGCATGCTCTATGCAGGACTTATAAAATTGTCTAAACTTCCTATGAAATTTTCTTTTAATTTTGACTTTTTTTTTTGTTATCAAAGAAAACAATGGAGAGAACCAGCCTTTTCTTTCTTAGTTGGAGATCTCAGCAGCTCCTCCACAGTTAATACAGACCTGCTGGCATCTCTGATTATTGCTGTCTGTTTGTTTGGGCAGCTGTTTCAGAGTGATTGTGACTTGCTAATTGGTTTTTAGGATGATTGAGTTACACTAGAAATGCACCCATCCACTTTTTTTCCAATCTGTAACTGATACCCGGGCTGAGTGTATCGGCCCATATCTGATATCGATCTGATTTAAACGGCTAAATGAATAAACCAAAATTTATATAATGTAAGTAAAGGCCTTAGCTGTGACTTTTAGCCGTGACTTTTATTCCTTTTATTCATAAATAAATGGAACCAACTGACACAAATATAAACAAATTTTATTTTATCAACAAATAATCAGCAAAAAGAAAGAAATAAGAGTTCCATATACAGTGCACTAGACTGGATCTCCAATATCCGATATCAAATCACAGAAATCCAATCCAGGGGTATCTATCATTTAAACTTTGGTTCCCAGTTCTCTTCCAACTACCCCTGTCCTCAATCAATCAATCAATCTATCAATACATTTTCATTGGCAACTACTTTATACATTTTAATCAAGATTTCAGCTTTAGTACAAACCGTTCATCACATACATCAAATACATTTGTGGGGTTGGACAGGGGAACGACTGACTGAGGCCGCCATAAGGCAGTTTCCTTAGGGCACTTCCTTTCATGTCTGTGTCCGTTTATGTCAACTGTTGTCCTGAAGTTGTCGGTGGCTCCCTGCTACCACAGGCTCAGACAGGGAACAATTTGCTCACACAACCATTACCAAGACTTCTATAATGCTGTTTTACTGGTTTTGGTTATTATCACGGATGTGACAGTGACTGCCGTCCACACTTGCACAAAGCCAGCCAGACACCCACTCACACTTACTAGATCTACAATGTAAGCCTGAGTGTTGTAAAAACACCAACATAAAACAATATAGAGGCGGACAGGCAGTTCTTCAAGAATGAATACATGAAAGCTCAGAGGTGTGTAAGCATTCACTGTCAGTCTAGGTGGCATGTGGGCAATGAAATGGAATAATGTAATAGATGCAAAACCCCATCATGCACCGCAACATATCTTTGCTAAATATTCAAACATGAATTTGCTAAATATAAAAGGAACATCGTTGTTTGGTTTAAAGGAAGCATTCTAGTTTCATTATGATTTAGTTTGTTCCAAGGGTTTTACAGTTTGAAGAAATAAAGAAATTACACCATATGCCGTCACAAGGATGTGCATGACAAGGAAGGGCTATATATACTGCATGCATCACTTAAGTGATTAACATTGTATTACTTCTTGAGCTTCTTGAGTTATATAATGTCACGGTAGGTGCTTCAGAAGGAGAGTAAAGGTTTTGGACCAGTTTGATTAAAGGAGGGCCATCCCTCGCATGCTGAAACGGTCTGCCAAATTACCAGTCTGCACTTGCACCTGACTTATATGAACGAGTGATTAACAGACTGGGACACATCTGAAATATGCAGGGCAGGGGTTCCTGGAAA